AATTTCGAAAATCCCTCAAGAAATACAGGGATCCAAAACCACTCGTGTTTCTACCTCCAATCACTGCTTAACATTTCAAAGCGATCTATTCTCATCCACTTTGTAGATCTTAGAACCGTCGAAATCAAACTTTTAGACCAAGTTACCTCCAATTCCTGTCTCAGTTTACTTCTGAACCAGTTTCCTGCACGCTATATACTTTTCCAGTTTACATAACAATCTTCAGTGAATTGCGTAATCGGTGTACGCGTTTTGTACGCGCGAAACAGTTGCGATTCACACGATGTCGTCGTCGTCAAAACCTCAAAATTAGAAAGAGAATTCGGTACGTAAGTTGGTCACAAGTGGTCTTGTTTCCTCTGTTATATTTACCCAGTAATAAATTCACCATCGTTCCGTGATCACACTCTGTGTCACGTAGATCCATTGAGAAACGTTTTACGATGCCCGTTTAGAAAACACACATCGCTGCCTGTCTTTGGAAAACTCGTTGTCGAGGTTATCGCATTTTCTTGACCAGCACGAGAAGGAGATGTGAGTAGCGGAGAGGATACGGAGGAACTTTCGATTCGCGTGCGGCACGCACTTGGAAATGAGCATAACATTTCTTATGGACTATTTAAGTGAGCCTTTTATAAGTGATTGTAATTTCTGAACGGTGTTATTACAGGAAAAAATCGTTTTTCCGCAGACACTATTATTTACCGTTTAAGATATTAACGTTTCGTATTTTTATTTACCGACGGAGAAAATGTGGAAATGTTAGATGTGTATCGGTAAGGTTTTGTAGTATTTTAATTTGTGTAATATTTTACAACGTGTGGTGTACAAATCATTTGCAAGAGTAGAATAGAATATTTATCATTTTTAACATCTGCAATCTCTATTGCGTGTGATATTTTTAGTACATTTGGGAGAATTAGCTTATTCGCGAGTGCAAAGCGTACTAATTAAAATCGTTCTGTTATCTGTGAAGATTGAGAAGAATATTTTTGGAAAGTTATTTTTCCACAGATGCGATTATTAGACACATATTTTAGATTAGATGATATATTTGTAAGGTTTTCTAGTATTTTCACAGTTTGCAAGAATACGAATAGGATATTTATGATTTTTAACATTTGCAATTTATTGTATATATTTTTATTACATTCGAGAGAATTAGCTTATTCGCGAGTACAAAGCGTACTAATTAAAATCGTTCTATTATTAGTGAAAATTGAAGAGAGTATTTTTGAAAAAATTATTTTTCCAGAGATGCGATTATTTACCGTTTAAGATATTACCGTTTGATAGTTTTATTTACCGACGGAGAAAATCTGTAATTATTAGATGTGTATCTGAAGGTTTAGCAGTATTTCAATCGTTCGCGAAACTATAAAAGAAAATTTATCATTTTTAACACTTGCAATCTCTGTTATATGTGACATTTTTATTGCGTTCGAGAGGATTAGCTTATTTACGAGTAGGAAATTTCCATTATTTGCAAAAATGAAATAGGATATTTCCATTGTTTGCGAAGTTTCTCTTAAATAAAACATCGTAGAGAAAATTGTATAATAGATAAAAAGTTTGGCAAAAATAAGAGGCTTAAAAAGGACAGACGGTTGAAATTGAAGTTGAACGTTGAGTAAGTTTCTAAAGAGTTTGTATAAATATTCCTGTATCTGATTCGCGTTTGTTATTGCGAGTAAAAGTTTAGAAAACATTGGGAACGCCAGAGAATTCATCCATTCCGATTGTTCTATTTAAAGAGCGCCGGTGCTGTTTCGTCTGCAACTCCATTCAATTACACGAACGTGTGAATGCACTGCATATTTATGCACTTTCGTCACTGATACCGCGTGTGAAGTTTCCAACGTGTTTAACATACAATACTCGTCGATTTATGATTGGAAAAGGCTAGGATAAATGAATATTTAAAGAGGAAATCGATCATCAACCTACGAAATGCACCTCTGCTTTTCTCGTTTAGCATAGACGAGCCTGAAAATTCATAGGAAATGTCAACAAATTTTTTTCAATTTTACCTTTTCATTTTGTAAAAGTGGTTTGAGTAAGAAAAAATTTTAGAAAATTCAATTTATCACGTATTCTGGGTTGCATCGATCTCTCATTCGTCGGAATGATCTATAACGCATTATGATAGCAAGTATTTCGTGAAACATTTTGTTGAATAATGGAAAAATACTTTTTCCTATTTTTAAAAATTTTTTAATACACCAAAGGAGAAGCCGAAATTTCTGAAATGTACGACTTTTTAGGCTACTTTTGTGATCACTGGCACATGTGGCTTCACGTCTATAAAAGATTTGCATAAATTGATATAGTGTCAGAATATTTTCCCTAAAAAAAGTAATTATCATTAGGTAA